AGAGTGTTTGTTTATATGCAAAAAAAACTCATGAGACTACTAGTCCCGTGAGTTTTTCTAGAGTTATTTAAGACGGTTTTGCTAAATATTTAGCAAAATTGTCGATTTTACTAAATATTTATTAAATTTGACCTATTTTTAAAAATTCTCCTTTTAGGAATATTATTAAGTAGAAGTATCTAGCTGTCCTGATTATTAAGAAAAGGAAAAAAGGGGAAAAAAGAAAAAGAAAAAGAAATATCTAACTCATTGTCTAGTCGGACCCTATTTAGCTACAAAACTACGTGGCACGTTCCCAAATAACGCGCTCTTGCCCCCTCCCTCAAGAAAGCCGCAACGTAAAATTTTGAGGGGGGAGAAAAATCCCCTTTAAAATCTAGGGTTAGGTTTAAGTGGGGCAAAAGAAATCTCAATCCATTTCAATTCAATTTGATTGAAACATGGCATCCGAGAATTCCCTAATCGAGGAGCTCCAATCGCTGCAGAAGAAGCTAGGAAAGAAGCAATCCTTCGAGGAGGCGGTCTCTTCGATCCGGTCTCTCCTTCGAGATCATTACGCTTCGTCATCTCCGTCCCTTCGCAAATCGGTAAATTTTCAATTTTTAATTGCATTAGATTCTCTAATGTATCGAACTTTTGCATAATTTCGTATGATTATTGTTTTTTTAATACAGTTGAAATTGATTGCCTCTGTTGTAATTACGCGCTTACCCCTAAACTGTTGTTTAGGTTTAGAAATAGTTGTGTTTTTTAAACACAAAAGTCATAATATTATCATATCAGAGGTATTTAGAATATAGATTCAAAACATTTTGTGCAACATTAGTTCAATACACAGAGTATGTACTATTTTTTTCTAGAGTTAGCTGCACAATTCTAGAATAACTCTTGAAGAATAGTTTGTTGTATTTTGACATTCAAAGGAGTTATTGTTACATAATATGTCAAAAACTGGCTTGCACTATTTCCCTTTGCAGATATATGCTGCGGTTTCTCGTGTTGCAACTGTTCTTCAGACTAGGTATACAGCACCGGGGTTCTGGCTTGCAGGTTTAAGGCTCTTTGAACAAGCAGAAGGCTTGACCTCTGATCGCTCGGAGAAGGAACACCTGAAGAAATGCATTGCGAGGGCTCGCGAACATTTGAATGATATGGAGAGTGAACCTCCAGCATCAAACATAAGGCAACCGGGTACATTTTTCATGCAGATTGATTTCTATATAGCTGCATGAGTTATTTTCTCCGATCAATCTTTCCAATTCTAGTTTTAACAGTGTTAGTGCTTTAGAAATCCATAAAGAATTATTGATGTTGAATTTCCTCCAAGTTATTTCCTCAGTCTTTTAGAGCATGGTGTCTACAGTGATATGCGCATGTGTAGATAAAAACTAATTAGAAAAAATATAAGCTGCTTGACGGTAGACTAATTCATTAGAATAGAAGATATGAAAAGAGTTGACTGCTTACAGTATACAAAATGATGTGAAGTTTGAAAATTCCTGGTTTCCTGTATATTACTTAGTGAATAGTAGCCCATAGGCTTATGCATTATAATTATAGATATCCAAACTTTTTATTGGCATATATCTCTCAGCTTTCAGAGTGTCTAGAGCATGAATAGCAGTGGATTCTTATATAATCATAATAAACAAAGATAAGAGGGTCAAGAGAAGGGTGCATATGGACAGCAAATAGGTAGAATGCTCCTAGTGAATGTATGTTGAAAAAATTGCAATAAAGAGAATAAAAGAAAATTGACTTGTATTTCTTCGATCTCGGTTACAATTTGATTACAAAAGAGAGGAGAATGAATTTGATTCTCCCCTTTGTTTAAAACTGGGTTCTTCACGGTGGCGATGGAGTGCCTCCCTCGAATGCTCGCGTCGAGTTTGCTCTCCGTTGACGATCCGACGTCTTGATTCACTGGAACGATGTCTCCTCCTCACGATTTGACGTTGTGGAGAACTTGCGTGGCAAGTTTTAGAACTCTGGATGAGTTGATAACTCTGCACGAGTTGGAAACTCTTGAAAAGGAGTTAAATTGAACCGAGAATCGGTTTTCAAGCCAAGGCCGAAGGCTCTCAGGACTGATCCCAAAAGATGAATGTCGATCTCTTCTGCTGCCAAGTCCCAGATCCGAAAAAATACCAGCCTTCAGTGGTCAATCTGAGCCCAGAAATTCCAACCTTGCTGCCAACTCTCAGATCCGAAAAATGCCAGCCTTCAATGGTCGATTCAAGCCAAGAAAAAATCGAACCTTTAACTCAGTTGAGTTTACTCGCTTTTATAGGGGATTAAGGGGGTGTAACTGCCCTCTAAATCCGCTCCTAAGTGGGCGTGATTTTCTCAGATCGTGGGGAAAAACGGTTCTGAAACCGTTCGACTCATATTTGAATGAGTCAAACGCCCACGTTGGCGTTCAGGATCCTAACCTCGCGTCTTAGGATTGAGACGCGAGGTTGGGTGTTGACTGAACATCCAGAACGCGAGGGTCGCTCACGTTTTGGTTGTTGTAACGCTGGTCCGACTCCAGCGTTTTGATATTATAACGCAGGTTTGACCCTGGCGTTTTGATGTTGTAACGTGGGTTCGACCCTCGCGTTTTGATGTTGTAACGCGGGTTCGACCATGGCGTTTTGATGTTGTAACGCGAGTTCGACCCTGGAGTTTTGATGTTGTAACACGGGTTCGACCCTGGCGTTTTACTGTTGACACACGGGGAGGACCTCCGTGTTTTGGTGTTGATACGCGGGTTCGACCCTCGCGTTTTACTGTTGACACACGGGGAGGACCTCCGCGTCTTGTCTTGAAGAGATTATCATCAAGTAATCTCTTTTGTCATAGCGTTGCAAAGATCATTGTCTTGTAATCTTCGTCTTGGCTCCTTGAGAATATGAGAGTCGTCAGATTGTAACTCCCGATGTTGATTGTGAATGCTGTTGAACTAGAGCTCTCATCGGTTGTCGTGAAGGTCGTCAGATTGTAACCTTCAGCGATCTACGTGAAAGTCTTCAAATTGTAGCCTTCTGGAAGTCGTCAGATTGTAACTTCCATCATCGGTGTTTGATGGAGGATAAGCTATCTATTATGATTTTTAGACAGCCTACAGTGAACCCAGATGAAGGCTTGCAGCACCCCCATGTTAATTGGTGTGGTGTAAAGAATAAGTAAACTCACTAGGCAGTGTATGTTTCTAAGATTAAACCTGTGTCCTTCAGGTCACCATTGTCCCAATGTTCATGCTTTTTGTAGGGATGCAGAGTGTACATTATCTAACCCGATATCAATTCTATATTCATACCTTGGCGGGTGTGGCGAACCATTATATATCATTTAAATTATCGGTTACTGACATGTTACACTTCATATTCAGGCAATAGTCTGATTCAGATCAAAGTTTTTGGAAACTGTCTGAAGATACACACATACATATGTCAATAGACAACATTTTCAACTTTGTTGTCAACATTAGAACATGCTATGAATGTAGAAGTTAGTTGGATTCATAAGTTCATCCTGTAAAACACTTGATGCCATGACAAATGATAGAACTGTGTTGTTTAATGCAAGAGAGTTAAAATGAACGCTGGAGCATTTTGTCTCAATTTTTTAGTCTTTTAGGATCGTTTAATTCATTTCTAGATTTGCTTCGATCTGATCATTTTTAGACCTAACGTAGATAGTCAGATAATACCACATTTGCTAAGTGAAACCAGGCAAATATGGGTATTCTACATGTATTTTTTTTCTCCACTCATTTTGCACCATCTCCTCCCTTTCTCCTATTAAGGTAAAATGGTAGAGAATTTGGTTAGCTTAATGATGGATATGTTAGTGGTTAACATAATAAAGCTGCTTGAAAGAATAGGACTCATGTATTCAGACTATAAAGCCTGGAATAAAGACTTTGGTGCTGCTGTTGTTGTTGTTGTTAGTTGACACTGGTTTGCAAAACTCTTCTTGGCAGGTTAACAAAATCTTCTAACTTTCTTGGTATGTATTGTGTACTGAAAATTTTAAACTATTGGCTGATCTATCAGATTCAAGATATCTATTCGAAGGGCATTTGACCGTGCAGCCTGAGCCTGCACCACCTGCATGGCTTGTGGCACAAAATATGCTTACTACACTTGCTGTTGCACAAGATATGGCTTCTGTATCAGAATCTTCTCGAGTTCAGGACGAAAATGGAAGTGGGACAGAAACTGCAAGGATAGCTGAGCTTCCTGAATCTGTTCGTGAATTATTAAACAATGTTCAAGTTGGTGACTTTCTGGACCTTGACAGTGTCATTGAAGCCTCATTGCAGGTATACCTTGTTATTTCATTGCTGCAGTATAGCAATATAGCCTTTCGTTGTTCCGCGTGATCATGAGCTGATTTATCAGATAGCTAAAAGCTTCCACGTTCCTGCAATTGTTACCAGCGCATGTGACTATTTCATGAATATCATTAATATCTGCACGAACATGTGCTTTAATAGTGTGTTCCAAATTCTTTAATGATTCTAAAGCGTGAGTCACTCCCGTTAAATAGAAGATAAATGTGCAGACTGCTTATTAGCTAATGTAAAGTGCAGCTGGACTTTTAATTAAGTGTAAAGCATAGCTGGACCTTTTTAAAGTGTAACACTCATTAATGCAGGTATCCACACACAGACACTCACACACACACATACATGTACATATACATATATATATGCACATACACATATACATGCACATGCATGTGCACTGCACATACACATGCATATACATATATACTTATTGTATACCTGCAAATATGGACCTTGTTTTTTATTAGGTCAAACTTACACAATCACCTTGTAGACGGTGAGGTTATGCTGCAAACATGAAGGTTTATATGTTGTACATTGTCATTCTGCTGTATGATGGATCTTCCTAATCGTCAATATGTATTTTTCACTATATAATTTCATATCTTGAGATCCATATGGATAAAATATCAAATGTCCTAAACGTTTGACTTATATAAGTTATGGGTGGTATTATATTGGTGGGTACTGTGGTCACTTGTTTCCTTGGCCAAAATATCAAATGATTTTTAAGTTGTTTAAGATGTTTTTTAGGTGATCCACCTTAATTTTGTCAATATATAATGCTTTCATGCGTATGTCTTGATTTATTTTCACGTGGAAATAACTTATATCCTTGCATTTGTACATTTTCAGGAAATTGGTGCTGGGCCACAGAGACCACCTCCAGCGTCGAAAGAAGTTGTAAAAAATCTCCCTGTTGTCAATGTCACCGAGGAAGTGATTGCTAGGTTGGGGAGTGAGACAGAGTGTGCTGTCTGCAGAGAGAACTTGGTCGTTGGTGATAAAATGCAGGAGTTACCCTGCAAACATCTCTTCCATCCTCCTTGCCTGAAGCCCTGGCTGGTAATAATCCATTACCCCTTTCACCTGTATTGAAAATTTTGTGAAAAAAATCATTGGTGGTCTTCTATATAAAATTTATAGGGGAGAAAAGAGATATTGATATGTATCCCCCCAGCACAAATATTAATGTTGGTGGTTACCAATCATCGAGTTTAAATTTTTTGTTGGATTTCTAAGTAGGACAAGTGTCAATGACCTATTCCTTCCTATATGATTTTGGGTTAATTGCACATAGAGACCCCTTGTAGCATCGCTGTTTTGAACATACTGCCCATGATGTTTCATCATTGCAGATATACCCCTGAGTTAAATTTTTCTTACTCGTATGTTTGGATAGAGTCACCAATTTCACCCGTGGGCAATATCTGCCAAAATATTGCACATAGTGAAAGAGTCGGGGAAAAAAAGGGGGCCTATCTGCAACAATCAAATTACAAGAGTATTGAGTCCAAAGCAGAGATGCAAAGAAGCCTAAGATATTCCATAGAGGACTCTAATAGTATGCTTTTATGTAAGGTGTCTAATGGCTGCTGATAACAGGATTTCACCATCTTTCCTTTCATTTTTCTGCAGGACGAGAACAACTCATGTCCCATTTGTAGGCATGAGTTGAGGACTGATGATCATGCGTACGAAAGCTGGAAGGAGAGAGAAAAGGAGGCAGAGGAGGAGAGGAAAGGTGCGGCTAATGCTCTGCGTGGAGGTGAATTCATGTATGTTTGACATTTTTCCTTCTCAGTGATGTAATTTATTCCGTATACTGGAGTTTGCTACTTTATATTATGATAGCATTTAAATTGTATAAACAACGGGCACATGAGAACTTTCCTTCTGTCCATCGTATTGATTACTGTTATATCACATTGAGTAATTAAATTCATATGAAAGAGCTATGTAAGCAAATGACAGAAGATACTTCTTTCGGGGGCTGTTTGTTTCAGAGGTTTTCATAGAAAACCATAGAAATGTGTTGGGATAGAAATTGATGAAAACTATGGTTTATCGCAGCAAAATTTCTTGGCAGAACTCCTTTCTCCGAAAACTAGCCCTTGGATGGTTGCATGTAGTTGGAAGGAAAAAGTTGAAAAGTTACAAAATTGCGTGATCTTCGACTTCTTCAACTTTTTTCATGTTTTGGTTGCATCGTTGAAAAATATGAAGATGATAATGCGGCACTCAAAACTTCTCAAATAAAATTCCTGCGAAATGAGAAGTGTTTCTGTGGAAAGTGAAAATTTTGTCATAAATCCTGTGTGAATTTCAAGCCAAATGGATGAAACACTCAGTTGAAGTTGATGAGTAGATATTCACTTTGAATATTTTTGTCACAAATTTCCTCACTCTCGCTAACGTACCCATACATGCTCAAATTTGCCGTGAGAACCAGAAAAGTGAAACTTACGAATTGAATTCTGATTTAAATAGAATTTCAAAACCTTGTCCTTAGAACCAAACAATGCCTCGGAATGAGCACATGAGCCATTTTAGCACTTGCGTCCGGATTACAATCCTCAGTTTTGACTTCTTTTAGGTTTTTACTAGTATTTTAGCACATGTGATGCACATACAACTATACAAGCATATTAAATTACATTGAGGTACCCAAGAAAGCTAGGATTTTATCTGAACTAACATAATTAAAAGAATAAAGGGAACATGAAAAATGACTTAGGAACCTAAAAACATGAGACCCTACATGGGACATGTGAGGTGTCGGCTCCATGTCCCATGATGCACTGTTCATGAACAGTGCATCATGGGACATGGATCCCATGATGCACTGTTCATGAACAGTGCATCATGGGACATGGAGCCGACACCTCACCTGTCCCATGTAAGATCCCATGTTTTTAGGTTCAGTGCATCATGGGACATGGAGCCGACACCTCACCTGTCCCATGTAGGGTCCCATGTTTTTTGGGTCAATGTAGCACCACCCAAGGGAACATATGCCACATCGGATAAAGATTCTCCTTTGACTACACTCTTCTTCTTTTATATTCCTTTTGTCTCTATGTCATGAACAGTGCATCATGGGACATGGAGCCGACACCTCACCTGTCCCATGTAGGGTCCCATGTTTTTTGGGTCAATGTAGCACCACCCAAGGGAACATATGCCACATCGGATAAAGATTCTCCTTTGACTACACTCTTCTTCTTTTATATTCCTTTTGTCTCTATGTCATGAACAGTGCATCATGGGACATGGAGCCGACACCTCACCTGTCCCATGTAGGGTCCCATGTTTTTGGGTCCATGTAACACCACCCAAGGGAACATATGCCACATCGGATAAAGATTCTCCTTTGACTACACTCTTCTTCTTTTATATTCCTTTTGTCTCTATGTCATGAACAGTGCATCATGGGACATGGAGCCGACACCTCACATGTCCCATGTAAGGTCCCATGTTTTTGGGTCCATGTAGCACCACCCAAGGGAACATATGCCACATCGGATAAAGATTCTCCTTTGACTACACTCTTCTTCTTTTATATTCCTTTTGTCTCTATGTTATTCTCTTCATTATTACTGTAGTGCTAAACACAATGTTTGCAAATCTTTTTTGCAAATAACGGTTTCCCTTTTTGCAACAAGTGCAAAAAAAAAAAAAGAAGAAGAAGAAGAACAATTGTACGAAGAAAATGGCTACAGCTAACACAACTACCTTAAAGATTGTAATGTATTTCATTTGCATTCACGGCATCTACATGTTCGTCGCAACTTCTTGCTACAATATTTTGACCCAGCAAAAATCATCCACGTGAATTACAAGGGGAATTTTTTTACCAACTTAAACTTGTAAAAAATAAATTCTCAAATTTAGGTATTTCTAACCTAAGAATATAAATAAGAGCATGGTTCTTGTCATAAATAAATGAAGAAACGTTGTCAAAAAATTTACAGCAAGCAAGAACCAATTCTCTAAACTTCGCAACATTTCACATTAAAACTCAGGAGCCATTAAAAGAAGAGATCAAAAGCGTTCACAACAAAAATATAAGGAAACTTCCTTTCTTTTCTCTCTCTCTCTATAGTTACTAACTTGCTATGTATAACATCTCGGCCAAAGCTAGGAATGGACAGAACGACGACGGATAATAACAACAATAATAATACAAAATAACCCCGTATACAAGTGGGGCTATTCTCTCATAGAAAACAAGAAAAAAGACAGAAAAATAAAACAAAAAATTACACATGCCGCGAGGATGCACTCCCAATCCCATTAATCTTCTGAGATTTCTTCTTGTAGTTTGTCAGGCTACAATGCGGGCATATGTATTCCAATCCATCGGTCTTTGCATAATCCTATAGTCACATCGCAATGATGAGATGAAAAAATCCAGCTTGATAAGATTATGCACTACTAGCCAGGCATAAGGAAAGACTGGTTACTAATAGGAACGCAAGTGCATGGATATATGTGGATCCACATCTGTATATGGATCATGAATATTATAGTTACATATTTCTGTCCTTATTTGTATTCTACCAAAAATAAAAAGGGATACATATGTACGTAAGAAAGATCAACTACTAGTAGGGAGGCAAAGAGAGATGGGTATTTGTGAATATATCTACACATCTGTATTTGATAGGATACTGATACTAAATATCTATATCCAATAGGATCAGAATACAGATATAGATGTCTACATGCAAATGTAAAAAATAGAAGACAGCATATGAGCATGGTTAGTGATTTAAAAGAGAGATTGCCATGTTCTAGCTTTAAAGAGATTGATATCAGAACATGTATGCCGAAGAGATAACCACACAATAAATGATACTAGATAGTAAAAATGAATTAAAAGTGAATCAAAGATTTGCAAACCTTGAAAGTACCGAGGCCTTGCCGTCTATCACAGCCAAAATGAGCCCACTCTCCACATAACCCACAATTCACCCAATCACCAGGTGCGCTACTGAAAGGAGACTCAAAATACAAGAATTGTTAACGGTTGAATTTTGATTCAGAAGGGGAAAAAAGTTATAGTAAATGATAATGAAGGTTAATGCCTAAAGACCTGTGACATAGCAAGCAACATTCTCCATCCACATCATCATGTGCCAATTCATACTCCAACAGGTATGTCTCATAATGCCTTTTCAATGTATTCCCAACACCCTGAAAATATATAAATACAGAATAAGGAAATCGGTGCTAAAGATTCAAATGTATGATGCTAATGATGCGATGACAATGCAACTTCCTTATCCATCAGCATATATTATCAAGTTTAGGAACATAAAATTCCAAGTCTTCATGCAACAGTATGAGGTGTTACCCATATAAATTCCCATCAAACATGATTTCATAAGACCCAATTATAGATTTTAATAAAATTTAAGGGTGCATCTTTTCCTAAAACTGCAATTACATTTCAAGTCAAAAATAAATGAAAAGAGGAAGAAAAAGAAAAGGAGAAAACTTCAATGGATGCAGCTACAATTGATATACAAGTGATGAAGAAAAAGAGGAACTTAGTCATACAGTCATCCTGTTGGTCATTGTATGGTTACGCATCTTTGAGAAGACCTGCCCTTTCCAGTTTATACCATTCCCAACATAGAACCCTCCTCTTGACACCACCTGGAAAAGGAAACAAAGGGCGTTAAAGTGATTTCAAAATTTTTAAAATACATGTAAAAAACAAAAAGGCTAACCTCTCTATATAAATTGTATAGATCTAGACGCTTAGCATTGAGTATGGCATCTGGAAACTCTGACATTCCTCCCTGAGGGACAAGACGGCTATGACCCCTATGGATCAGAAACTGCATTACATCCTTCAAAAATTCTTCCTATAAACAAAAAGCCCAAAAAAGAGAAGTTAGTCCAAGTATGAAGTCTTAAAATTTCTAAATATATGACTAATTCGTGAAATCGTAAATTATCAAGTTATAGATTAATTAAGAGATGTCGACTTTGCTGAGAACAATAATGCCATGAAGATATATTGTAAGGAATAAACTTACTTCCGGACAAACTTGAATAGGAGCACGATTGCATCCATGCTTTTTCATTGGCAATGGATTCAAAGGTATCATCTGTTGTGTATGTAAAGCACTTGACATAGATTTTCTATGAGTAGGTGGCGGAGGTAAAACATTATGCTTCACAGGAATTACTGGCAACGGGGGTTTCGCTTGACTTCCATCATACACATTTGTTTCAGGTATAAAAGGCATCATTTTGTGATGTCGAGTGTGAGGTACAGGCTTCAGCAGAGCAGGATTTATTCTTTTTCTAGCAGTTGATGGACGTATATGGATCCCTTCTATCAGTTTAATTTCTTTATCGTCCAAAATTCCACCATTTTCACCGGGTTTTCTCCTGTCACTAATAAGATAGGCAGACCATCTTGGTGGTCGGAAGCGGATCCTATCATCCACAAGCAAGTTCTTGCCATTTAATGTGCAGAAGAAAAGAAGACGATCAGCATCTTCTCTGTCAAAAGCAGCAACCGGTTTGCCTTGAATACTTGCAATGCCAAGAGCAACCAAGCTACGATATGAAAGTTCAGGAGCCAGGTGCTTCAGAACCTATAGTTACAAATCACAAAATGTGTAAATGATTATGCCAAACTGAAAGCAAGCAAGCGAAAAGCGAAACAACATTAAGCAGCAAAATGCACATCGTGAAGCCATAAAGGGACAATTATCATGACTACTAATCTAAATATTCGGGTTACATCTCTGCAGACGCTAGGATGTCTTTGGATGTTTTAGTTGTAACTAAAATCAGACTTTTCAGGTTCACAGTTTGGAAGTCTTGTCTTGAGGAATATTCAATATCAGTTGGTATTAATTTTAAAAAGTTATAACGTCAAAGTAGAAAGCAAAACCATGCATACAGAAGACAGAATCACGAAATTTGAAATTATTATTTAGAAGAAATAATCAGTATCATGATTCTAGGTGATTTCCATATTTTTTTGATCTAGCCAAACACTTGCCTACAATGTATCCTAAATTACTTATTTCAAGATACACAAAAGTTACACATTTTGTTGACTTCTGTGCATTCAAACACACCATAACGTATTCTTGATTAGCTTACAGAAGAGCCTACTATAACCTAAAATCAAGTGCTATTTTTTCCCCTTTAGTCTTTACACTTCCACTGAAAGCAGGTCAACAAAAGTAGTGATGTACTAAATATGCAAAAGTGCAATTTAACTCAACAGAGACAACTGGGATCCTACGAGCTCTACTGTTCACTGAAACAATTTTATCCATGAACGGAGAGTAATAAAAACTTATATGGAAATAATGGTTATGAGGTTGCGGCTCATTTCACAAAATGAGCTACCAAGAGATAGTCATGTGATGAGGCCACCTTGCTAGTCACAACAAAAGGTGTGGACTTCACTACTCTATCTCTTGGTAGCTCATTTACAAAATGAGCCGCCACCTCGAATCCATCATTCCCAACTTATGTATTAACCGCTAACAAAAAATTATGTCAAGTACAAGTTATACTCTTTCCTGAGTGAATACCAGAGAGAACATGGCTAAACCACAACCAATACATTGTACTACCATACCTGTCTAGGTTTAGCCAAAAAATGAAACAAACAGAAAGTTGTTTCCCAAACAAATTCACTTTAAGAAAATATAAGATATACAATAGATTGAACAAAGGGTTCAGTTGACAAGTGGATGCTAAATGAGGATACAAAAGTACAACCTGGGCAGCCCACGCAGGAACTTTCATGGATACTTCGAATACAGATGCCCCACAAGCTATAGCAGCAAAACTCAAAGAATCTGGCAAGGATGACTTGCTTTCCTCAGAACTTGGCATAGCATGCACAAGCTGGTTCTTCTCTATAAGTTCATTCTTAATATGAGATTCAAGAAGCTGCATTTTAACAGGGTATGACATGAAAATCATGGAAAATGTCTCATTTAGAAAGTAACTTGAACGGAAGCTTATACCTGATCATCAAAGCAAGTTTGTGCACTGCCGGAAACTAAAAGTGAGATATGAGCAGAGCTGCATGTTGTTAGGTCACACCGCATTGTCACAACCCCACGAGTAAACGTTCCCGCTTGAAGAGGTGGCGGTGTGGCACTGCCAAAGGATTTTGCCAACATCATCGTTAGGTAATGTTATCATAAAGTCAAATCATGGAAGATATGATAAAGAAACCCAAAAGAGAAAATAAACCATGTAAACTATTTTATTTGTTCTTTTAGATGTTAATACTATTATACATTGGCTTAGCAGACTACCGGTTGTTAGGCTTAAGTTTTCTTATGTATCCTGTTAATTTACTTAAACCTAAAACTCCTTATTGAGCTTGCATAGATCATGATTCTATACATTCAAAATGCAAAAGTTTAACGGAAAAAGTAAAATAGCAACTTTCATGAAATCTACCTGACTCTGTTCTGAAGTCTACTCCCACGAATCTGCATACAAAATGAAGAAAGAAAAATAGTTAAGCAATACTAAAAAAATAAGGGCAATATGGCATATCTACGTTTAGCAATTTAAAAGAATATTCAGACAAAAGTGACATCACAATATCAGAATATTGACTTCACATGGAGACAGTGTCTAGCAATATCAATTTAACGCAAAACTATACTCAATTTTCTTAAAAAAATTTATTCAAGTTGATGCCATTGTTCACACCCATCATGATGAGACAGCTGCAACCGGGTCATATTTACTAAGAACATCAGTCAACAACCAGTTTCATCATGCAGGTATACTAATCAAAGATGTTACTTTGAAGAGTTAAGATCACAAATTAGGAAATTGGATACTTAAGCTTACTTATAAAAGGATCAACTTAGGTTGAGTTCAGATTGGGTTGAATCGGGTAAGGTTAGTCATATTGAATTAAAAAGAGAGATTGTACATAGAGAATCTCTAAAGTGTAACATATATCAAAGAGCAAAACAAAATAATTAAATATATAATCTAAAAAGATCACTAACAATAGCTACAAAGCATAACTAAATATTCTACTTGTAGACAAACTAGAGATGAAAAAAACATTTCAAACTAGTCAAATTTGGGTTGGTTCTGGTTGGTTTTGTTAGGGTCAGGTTGCTTCTGATTTGGTCGAGTCAGGTGCAGGTATAAGCCCAAACCAACTTACTAAAATCTATAACCTAACCTTACCCAATATGCGCGTTGGCGTCGTAGGGTTCAGGCTGAGCCCAACCAGACTTGCAACCCTATTAGAGGTAAGTTCTTTCTCAACTAGGTTAGCTATATGTAGTACATCAAACATTCTAAAAAATATAGGGTTTCATGCTCTTACCTCAATGTTCAAAAGGGCATTCAGACCATCTTCTAGGGAACCCAACAATCCTGCATCCTAGAAAAAGAGGAAAAGAACTTCAGTGATGTTTGTAGACATAAACAAAGCTATTCTAATGAACCCAACAATCCCGCATCCTAGAAAAGAACTTTAGTGATGCTTATAGACATAAACAAAGCTGAGTATAAGCATTCTAACTAACCAATACGCAAGGCATTCCACAAACAAGAAACTTCATGTCTACATCCTCGTCATAGATCTTTATAGCAGGAAGAGGCTCAGATGGACCTTCCTCTTCATCCACGTCTCTTTCCTGAGGAGCGATATTAATCTTTGGGGCATCACCAAGTAAACGTGGCCCAAGTTTCCCACTGACTTTCTGGTTGTTATCAGGCAACACATGATTGTTCTGGACGCAATACAGCCGAAAAGAAGCATGTGCTAGTTGAAAAGCATCCCATGTATGACTACATGAACTGCTCCCACAAAAGTCCACCATAAAAAAAACTATACATTTCATAGAAAAAGAAAAATGAAATGAAATCATAATACCTTTGCACAACTGAGAATAAAGCTTGGCGGAAGTGGGAGGATGCATAGGGTGAAAACGCACTTTTCCAATATATTACGTAGGGAACCCCCTGAAAGAAAGAACCAAAAGATTCTCCTGTCAAAAGCTGTGGAAAACCATTGAAACTCATTGTGAAGTGGAAATTTAATGCCAAAAAGCTCAGGCATCTCAAGCAAAAAAAAGGTAAGAAGGAATAAGAAGGTTAAAAGTAATTGACTGTAATAGTGAAAATGCAGAAAGATACAGCATGTTAAAAAAAAAGTAAAGAGACATGTCAATGTTTCCACAAGCTGAAAATATCGAAGCACCTTAAGGAATAGCATCTGTTCTAACTTCTAACAACTAAGAAGCTGCCGATCTGATATATAACGAAGAGATACATTCTATAATAAAAACAGGATAAAGAAGTTGAATTGCAAAATTTTCACCTTAGAATGCACCGCTTGCGCAATTTTCTCACTGTTAGGAACCTCCAAATAAACCTGTAATCATGTTCTCCCATGTCAGATGGCAATAATAGATTGCTAAGAAAAACAAGGGAATGCAGCGATTTATAAATGGAAATATGCATTTGTGCATGCATTCACATATCCACTCACAAGCACATGATCCCTGACAGTACAAGGATGCCAGGACAAATGGGGACAGAAAGTTAGGACTTAGGATGCGTGTATCAGTGCAAATTTTTATGTCAACTCTCCAGTAGGAGCTTACAAATAGAATAACCTGCCTAAAGGGGTGTTTGGCAAATTGAAAGTGTGAAAGTTACATTTTTGCAAATGATTTTCACATCCACGTCTGTGTGCAAGTAAAATACAATCTTTGTTTGAGAAAACAAATTATTGTTGAAGTGCAAATGTGAAGATGTGTGGCAAAATAGGATTTATTAATAAATATAGTTAGTTATTTAATTATAAACAGTCCCATTTTTTTTTCACATTCATATGCCTTCACCAATTATTTTGGGGAAATCAAAATTGCATTAAATCCCATGTGGCAAACTTTTTGCATTTCACTTTCACAATCTCTTGCATGTGAACAAACACTTAAAAAGTGTTAAAAAGCGAGTCACTTTCTCACTTCAATTTTTCACTCGCATGCAACCAGACACCCCTAAATACATGAATGCATATAGCTAGCAGGGCATATGGAAATGATCTTCTTTTTTTTTCCTTCCATAAAGCTAAGTTCTTCTCTAGAAATTTATAAGCACTAAAGTGCAGAATCCCAATTAATGACTTAAAACTAAACGTTACATAATAGAGATAAATGAAAATGAGCTTCAACCTTAACCATTCCTTGAAGATTGCATCGACTCATATGCAAGTTTCATAATCTTACAAGAAGGTAATAACACATAGAAAATTACTACTACGAAATGTCTAAGCATGAATCCAATTGGGAATCTCCAACACTCATCAATGGCTGTGCAAAGAGCAATTCATATACCAAAAACTTACAATGGTAGGTAATGCAGGCCCGATGAGTGAACTGAGTGTCTGAGGTTCTGACATATCCTCACTTCCCCATACAAGAGAGCCAATATCCTCATTCTCAAGCCTCTCCCCTTGAAAATACAATATATTTGGCTCCGCCAACTTCTGTGCTTCTCGAAACTTATCAAATGTTGGATTAATAAGCGTCTGAACCTGCATTCACAAACAAAAACACTCAACATAACATATATACCAAGTTACTAACAACAAAATCAAACTTTAACACCATAAGAACACACTAACCTCTAATCTCCCAGATGAAACTAACTCCGGTATCGGATACGAAGATCCGGGCTTATCATCTCCTTTCGGCCTCTCATGAAAGTTACCACATAACACTGCAAGCAAACTACAGTGCTGCTTCGAGGTACCTTGTATATGATACATATCTCACATATCCTAACCTCAAACCAAGCAAATCACAAACCCTAAATCCCCAAACCAATGCAACCCAAAACTACCTCCAATCCCCTCAATCAAAATAATCAAAACCCAACTCTCGAAACGCTCTAAATCGACAAAAATCGAACGCCCGTATGAGAAATCGAGCAAAAAATCGAAAACCCAGATGGGAAATCGACGGATTTTTTCAGAGGAAGAGAAGTCGACAGAGAGAACAAAAGAGTAAAGTAAACAAAAGGGTAGATGGAGGCAGAGGGCAACAAACCCTAATCGAAGAGAGGCATTAATTTTACCAATCAAAAAGAATAAAAAACACAGCTTTAGGAGGATTAAATCCTCTCCTTTGATTTTTATCGCGAACCAAACAAGATAGAGATAGAGAACCAAAACGATAGAGGGTTGGGGAAAAATAAGACTGGGATTTGGGATTTGCGATTTGTGAATAGTGTTAATTAATAAAATAAAAGAATCCAACGGAAAAACTTTATACTGACTAAGATTTTGATTTTTCTTTTTTCTTCTTTTCTGGGTTTTTGTTGGTTTTGATTTTTTTTGGTGATTCGATTCATGGCCTGTTGTTAATCCACGAAACCCAATTATGAAATTATTTCTTTCTCTCTCTAGAAAAGAAAAGAAAGGAGTTTTATACTCTCTCTCTAATTTGAGGTTTTGATCCATGTCAGATTTTTTTTTGATTTTGATGGGGTTTTGATTGGATCTTTTCTTGCGGTAAATTTGAGTTCGTGGGGTTCTGGTCCCGGGTGCCCCTTTGATAGAACTGCACGCGCCAGCCACGTGCTTATGGCTGCATACGCTTGTGGGCGTATATCGTATGGGCCCAGTGCCTCGTGAGGCCCGTTAATAAGCCCACTTCCCTTGGACGGAGAGGAAATGATCGTACGGGGTTCCATCTTGATTATCAAGCTATATAATCAACAGGCTAAATACCCATATTGGTATTTTATTTCAACCCCATTTGCCAAGAAGGTATTTTAATTAAAAAAATCGGCGTTAAGGTATTTTAATTGAATAAAATTACCAATTAGGTCTTTTTCCTCGTCGGCGACCACTTTTCCGGCGACCCCCTCTGCTCTAGCCACCCAAGCTCCGTCACCAAGCTCCAGATCCAACCGCCGTTGCCTTCCTTCTCGTCTCCAACAGCCAGCGCCTCTCTCCCTCGTCGTCAACCCCGACGAGCCCCACACCCGCCATCACCGCCTCCACCCCATCCCCCTTCCATGCTTGCAGACCAGCCCCACGACCATCTCAGGCCAGCCCCTCCACCTCGCCACTCTCCCTTGTCCCGCTGCCTCCTTCACCATCACCGAGCTCTGACGACAGCAACCCCATTCTCCTCCCCCTTCTGTCCACGGCGAGCCCGACTTCAACACCTCCATCTCCTCCTCTTCCCTCCACTCCCCGCCTTCATCCCCCAGACCCTCCCTCTTCCTCTCTTTGTCGAGCTTCCCCACGCCGAACTTGTTGCTGCTCAAGTTCCCGCCGACCAGCCCAACTCCGAGCTTCCCTTCTCCCTCAACTTGAGACCCGACCACCTCCTACCATCGTCAGTCGTCGCCGTCCTCTCTTCCCCGTCGGAGACCACCGGCGCTATGCTGTCGCTCCAAGCTCCGCTCAAAGAACTCCCCGCCGTTGCCGAGTTCACCCCGAGTCCCAGCTAAGATCCGCGTTGGTCAGAAAACAGTGCCACATCAGCAGCTTAAACACAGATTAAGCCACCGCGTGCAACGCACGTGACGAGTTCTCGCCAGATAAGTGGTCGCCGACGAGGAAAAAGACCTAATTGGTAATTTTCTTCAATTAAAATACCTTAACGCCGATTTTTTTAATTAAAATACCTTCTTGACAAATGAGGTTGAAATAAAATACCAATATGGGTATTTAGCCATAATCAACATAGTGAGGATAGCAAAAAATTAATGAATTGTGAATATTTTCCTCCTTTCTATTATAATATAATTTGAATGGTAAATGGTAATTTCCAAAAGATATTTTCTTTTCTTTTCTTTTTTTTCCATTCTTATTTCTAGACGATTCTAAATCATGACATGACAATAGGATTTGGACTCACATGATTAAGATTATAATCTTTCGGGAGAAACATTTATTTTCTTTCTTTTAATTTTTGAATAGAAATATTTATTTTCTTTTTTCTTTTTTTTCTTTTTAGAATATTCTGAATCATGAAATGATAATATGCATATAATTTAATCGGAATATCAATATTTTTTTAGTCAATTACTCTGATCATATTATCCAAAGTTGAGATACTACCCAACGAAATTTTGTTAAGTATATATCTAATTGATAAAAAATAGTTTAAGATATGTTTTCTATGTAGAGCTCCACGGTAAAATTGTATAAATTATAAATCATCAGCAAACTAATAAATAAGAATATAAGACAAATCATATAACTGAATATTTTTTGCATGCACATCACACGTGCCAAAATACCTTGCCAAAATGCTAATAATATATATAATGAACTTCACCGGCAAGATGAAGGTGCCGTTTATTGGTCGGAATGCCTTGGAAACTTGGTCATATAAATGTCATTTATCTTCATGTCGCTAATGTGATATTGACGAAATAAAAATGATTATGCAATGAAATTGGTGAGTTTTATTCTATGCTGTCTGAAGGAAAACTTTGGATAAAATAAGAATCCATGTTGTTATTGAGAAGATCACAGAAAGCATTAAGCTTAACAACGTAATGGTCTCTATCTACTGTATGAGAAGCTATGTGAGATTGTATCTTTCCTCATTGGTGTTTGGTTACACCCAAAAAAATAAATTTTAAAAAAAAGGAGCATGAAGAGAGATGTTGATCTAGCTTCAAAATTTCTAAAAAAGATTTTTGTCACAACTTTAAAATCGTACCAAACCCCCAATTACTTTTGCAGAAAATCCTTATTATCTTCTGGGTAAATCACACAGAATCTCTCATAACTTTCGAAATGTCTTTTTATATTGTTTTTTCCCCCTGATTTGTGGGGTTATCTGTAAATTTTATTGGGGATTTTCTGCAATTCCAAAAGTTATCGGAGAATTAGTGCATTTTGAAAGTTTGTGGGGGTTTACTGCAAAATCTCGAAAGTTGCGGGGACCTAGTGTAGTGTGCATTGCTTTTATCTCTCCACGGTGAATTAGGGACCAAACCTTATAATGACCTTATAATGATTGGTAATAACTGTACGTACGAATTATACTACTCTTGTATCAATACAAGTAAAAAAGCAGGACATGTATTTTTGTAACTTGTAGAGAGAAATTATGAATTACTACGGAGCGCCCAATTTATCGTGTCTAGTAGTATAAAAATAGTATAGTATAATTACCGCTTAAATTGTTGCCGCTGATATGAGAAATATTAGGTGGACGTCTCTCCAGTGGCCTTCACACGAAAGCCTGGCACTTTTGTTCCGACCAACGTGTTACATGCTTTTTTTGGTGCTTCAGAAACAAACGAAAACAGACCAAAAAAATAAAGGCAGGGGACCAGCCTGTCCTTTTTTGTTTCTCTCTCGATCGAGTTGACGAGATGCAGAGGTTCTCCCTAGAAGTTACAAATAAATTAAAGGAAAATGTTAATATGTTCCCAAGCTTTCAAATCTTCTTGATAGACCCTGTAAATGGCAATAGAGAGAAAAAAAGTCAGGTATAAAATATTTCACCAAGGCACAAGGCCAAGGGGATATATCTGCCAACATGAAACTGCATGCGTCGAAAATAAAATATATATATATGGAGATGAAAAGATGAAGTAAACTTTTAAACGTAATTCTTTTATGGACTCCAAGATAAAGATATAACTACTCGATTCTCTTTAAATTGCAGGCATAATCTCTAGAAAATTAAATAGAAAAAAATATATATATAGAGGTTTTTCTTTCTTGACCCATATATATGGGAAATGTTTTCCTAATGTGACACCTTAGATTCCCACCTAAGGACGCGGTCTAAAATCACATCATTCCCTAATTTTTTTGTGATCCGTTCCGTTGAACTTGATCTACACGTTCTTAAACCCAAACACACCAATTTTGGGGTGAACCCGTCGTGTTTTGACCCTTCAACCTTCATCCACTCACCGCAATTTTAACAGTTTCGAATGAATAGAACTTTTTGCACAGCTCAACGAAGGGTCAAAACACGACGGGTTCACCCCAAAGTTGATGTGTTTGGGATTAAGAACGTGTAGATCAAGTTCAACAGAGCGGATCGCAAAAAAAAGGAATGATATGATTTTAGGCCGCGTCCTTAGGTGGGAATCTAAGGTGTCACATTAGGAAAACATTACCATATATATATATATATATATATATATATATATATATATATATGTATATATATAT